GAAACAAAAGCAGAAATTAGAGGAAAGTAACCAGCCAGGCCAAGGAGGAAGCCTAAACCCTGCAGATGAAGATAGGGGTGGCAGTCCCTGAGAGCAAAGGAAAGATCCAAACGGCGGGCGGGGGGGGGGGGGTGAAGACGGGAGAAATACCATATTTTTCAGAGTATAAGATGGACCTTTTTCCCCTCAAAAAAGAGGCTGAAAATTTGGGTGTGTCTTATACACTGAACACAGCATTTTTGCCTCCCGAAACCCTGCCCCCTTTGCAAAAATGGCCATGCATTGCCTTTAGGAGGCTTTCAGAGAGCTTCTGGGGGCTGGGGAGGGCAGAAATGAGAGAAAAAAGGGCTGTTTTTTGCTCAATTTTGCTCCCGCAGCCCCTAGGAACACACTATAAGACTCCTAAAGGCTATGCATGCCCCCCCCCCCTTTTGACAAAAAACGATCCTGTTTTCGCAAAATGGGCCGTTTTCTGCTCGTTTTTTGGGGGGGCACCTCCCCAGGAGCACTCAACAAGCCTTCTAAAAGCTATTCATGCCTTTTTCTGGGGGAAAAACGGGCCCGTTTTCAGAGTAAACGGGAGGTGTACAGAGTGCAAAAACTTTTTTTTTTTTAAATTGCCTCTTCAAAATCTTGGTGCACCATATACTCCGAAAAATATGGTAGTCTTCCTTCCAGCCCCCTCCCTCTTTGCTTCCTCCATTTCTGGCATTCTCAAGAGCTCCAGAAATACTTTCTGGAGACATCGGGTTACAAAATGCTGACCCAACGGTCTGTTCGCCCGGTTCCCATCGCTGCCCTTTTGCTGTACCGCCGATCTTTTTCTATCGGTCCACGATAGAAAAATGTCCTTGCATACTGTATGGTACGCTGGTTTAATGGAGAGTAATCAATTCAGCACAAGTAACCATTGGTTGCCCTCTAACACCATTGGGTGACCTCTCCAGGTCTCGCTGCTTCAGCAGAGTAAAGAAGATACTCAAGAGATGATTCACACCCTGGTCAGTGTCTCT